GCGCCCAGCCAATACAGGTATTTTTAAACAAAGAACAATTTTCTAGAGAAACTTTCTGATAATTAGGTCTAGAAAATCACTTCCCCCACAATTCTAGGGTTCCTTAGGAGGCTGTTTATTGATAGGAGAGTTGAAGCCGTGTCCTCAGAGTGTTGTCGAAACAACAGGGGGGTTTCTGCCTAGGTTCTGTTGCTCATCACACAAAGATCCAATTATTGAGACAATGAAGATTGCCAAGGAAGAAAGGAATTTTTTTAGAATGGAAAATGTCTTGTTGTCTTGTCAGGAAGGAGAATGGGATAAGCTGCCTCAACTCCATCTCCCTGACTAACGGAGATCATGGGCTTTTTAAAGAAGAGCAGGTTGTGGAGGGTGGTGAATCTTGGCAGCAGGAAGTCTGCCCAGGGACCTTCAGAATCTCAGCTCCTTTGTATTGCAGAAAATCCACCGTTTCTGGGAAACAGCTCAAAATGTCAAGTAGTTAAGTGAGAGGATTATAAAAAATATATAGAGATCATTGAAATTTGTTCATTGGACGGCCTGTTACAGTATCAAGGTGCCAGCAGGATGCCACAAGCAGCGAGGGCATGGAAGTTCTGTACCTCAGCTCCTTTGTATTGCAGAAAATCCATCATTTCTGGGAAACAGCTCAAAATGTCAAGTAGTTAAGTGAGAGGATTATAAAAAATATATAGAGATCATTGAAATTTGTTCATAGTGCTCACTACAAAAGCCCCTTAGCATCATTTCACTCAGACTGTTTGGTACTTTAGAGAAAGCATGAGAAATGTCCTCTTTGCCTTAAGGCTTGTACAAATATACTATTATAAAACTGTACTTATTTTTGGTTTTTTTTTTTCTTAGAAAATACAGATGGGGGAGGGGGGTCTCACTCTCGCTCAGGCTAGTCTCAAACTCCTGAGCTCAAGCGATCCACCCACCTCGACCTTCCAGAGTGCTAGGATTACAGGTTTGAGCCACCGAGCCCAGCCCTGTAACTAGTTTCATCACACTTTTATATTTAGACATTATCTCCCTTATTTTTCAATTATTTATTTTTATTGCTGGTGTTGAGCACCTACAATATACCAGACACTGAGCCGGGAAATAAGTTTGAGACAAAGGTACTTAAGACACATTTTCATCCCTCATAGGGCTCACAGTCTCATGGTAAAGATAGACAATAAAATTACAAGGATTTTCTTTTGATTAAATAGCATAAGTGCCATAAGAGGAATAGGACTAATTACTATGGAAGCTCTTGGGAAACAGCACGTTTGTAAGCATGGATCTTGTCAGATGAAAATGAAAATGAAAACACAAATGACAAATGAAAATGAAAACACAGCATACTAAAACTTACAAGATGCCACAAAAGCCGTGCTAACAGAGAAATTATAACTTTAAAGTCTTACATTAAAAAAAAAATCTCAAATCAAAAACCTAATGCTATACAGTAAGAAATTGGTCGGGCATGATGGCTCACGCCTGTAATCCTAGCAATTTGGGAGGCTGAGACAGGAGGAGCCCTTGAGTCAGGAGTTCAAGACTAGCCTGAGCAATATAGCAAGACTCCTGTCTCTACAAAAAATAAAAAACTAGCCAGACATGGTGGTGCACCCCTGTAGTCCCAGCTACTTGGTAGGCTGAGGCAGGAGGATTTCTTGAGTCTAAGAGTTTGAGGTTGCAGTGAGCTATGATCATGCTACTGCACTCTGTCTGGTTCAGGCAACAGAGCAAGACCCTTTCTCAAAAAAAAAAAAAGAAGAAGAAGAAGAAGCACAAACTAAATCCAAAACTAGCAAATGGAAGGAAATAAATATTAGAGCATGGATAAATAAAATAGAAAATAAGAAAACAACAGAGAAATGAACAAAATCAAGAGGTAGTTCTTTGAAAAGATGAACTAAATTGACAAGACTTTAGCTAGATTGAATAAGAAAAAAAGAGAAGACTCAAATAAAAATTAGAAATAACAGGACATTATGACTGATCTTTTAGAAATTTGTTTTTTTAGATACTTTCTGGAGAAGAAAAGGAAGTTCTCTGGAAATCCAACAGACATCTCACCATTGAGTTTTAAGACATTCTTTCTGCCTTCGCTCTGGGGTCCAATTTACCCTAAACTGTGTGAAAACTATGGATGGAAGAAAGGACATTATACAAAGGACTCTTCAGGGAATCATAAACCAGCCCACAGGGAGACTGAAGATATCACAATAATCTCTAAGTTAAAAGTTTAATTGCACCCCTTGAGGTTCTCAATGACACTTGCTTCTCTTTCATTCACCTGCACCCCCTTTCTGAAATCTCCTCATGAGGTTCATGCCCCACTGCTTCTCGCTATTCTGAAGCAAATGTAGCTAATATATAAAATTCACCTGTTGGCCTTTCACTGCTGGACGAGACAGGGGAAAGCTCTGCAAGCGTGGGGGTGATTAAGGTTTCTTATGCATCCCTTGATGAAAATACCAACCTGCTAACTGAAGGCCACACCTGAAGGGCTGATTATAGGACTGTATTTCTTTCCACTGGCTATTACTGTCACCCTGTTACTCTGTTTCTTTTGAGCACTTCAGGAAGGGAGGAAAGGGAGTTTCAACAGTTACCTTTGTATAATCCTAGGATTCTCGGGTCAGGCCCTGGGGTTTTGATTCCGCCCAAGGGAAGGAGAAGCATCGATGAAAAGGTACAGACTCAGTGTTTATTCTCAGGTCTGTCCACACATAGCCCTATTATGAAAGGTAAGTAACTTTTCTCCCTGCCTAGGCTTCACTAGATTTTTGTCTAAGATATCTACCCATCAATGCTAGCTACAGTGGAATGCCTTTATAATAGTCACATATTTTTTGTAAACTTTTGTGGGTTTCTGGATATGTGATTTCA